ATATAGAAAATCATTATTCAAACATGTATTGTTAAATATAACAGAAAACGAATGTATATTATGTATTAGCCTTTCTAAATTTCGTATAGTTGGTTTAATTTCTGAAGAAAATAAAAATAATCATAATAAAAGCATAATAGACATTCATTGTTATATTTTACGATATATGTTTGAATATATATGTGTATGTGTGTGTGTGTCTGTGTGTCTGTGTGTGTGTGTCTGTGCGTGTGTATGTATAAACATGGAATTATTTTTAATACGTGATTTTTTATTACTCAAACGTTATTATAGGGGATATTCGTATTTGAAATAGACACCCCATTTTTATTTTTTTAAACAGTGTTTATTAAGTTTATTTTTGATGCTTCAAGCAAGCATTCACTATGTGACGGTTACACACCTGGCCCAGGGTCGGATCCTTTGGTTACGGCGCCAACGGTGACGTCGCTCCTCCTGGTCGCTCCTCCTGGGTCCAAGCGTGCCGCTCCAACCCCTTGGTCAGATGATCACCAGCCTCGCCTTTCCCGACTCGCTTCCAATACCTGGTCACTAAAGCAACTGTACCGATCTCCGGTCTGTCTACCCACGTTGTGTTTAGATCTTAGACAGACGGGACCAGCAGGGATTGGGGCCGATACAAGTTGAGTCCGACGGGGGTGGCAAAACACAAATAAAAGAGAAAATAAACTCACGAGACAAAAAGATTGCTGATGAAAAAATGGGTAACAACCTTTATATCTTAATGTCCGTTACATAAAAACAAAATTGTTCTCATTTCCCAACCCGCTCTGTGGACTATGGCACCGAGCTTCTATCATACAACTTAAAGATTTCGAATTGCCTACTCTTTAGAATTGTGTATGTCGGAGTGTGGTTTGGTTCGACACTGGGGCTAATTTCTATCGATCATTCGCAGTTGATTCTTCTCTTCGACTTGAGTTGTATTTCTTCTTCTTCATCGACTTAGGCTGGAAGTTCTCTTGTCTTCGACTTGGGCTGGAAGGATCTCTTGCCGCAACTCAGCCGCAACTCTCTGTCGTCCGAGGTGATCTCTTCTCGCTGCCGTCCGGGGTTGAACTCTTCTGTCTTCGACTTGGGCTGGAAGGATTTCTTGTCTGAGGATTCTTTTGCCCGCAAAGGGGCGAGTGAATCGGGCCCGATGCCCGCGTTCAGGCTCTTTCCCTGCCCGCGGTCCAGCTGCAACTCCACTCCAACTAATTTCTGTCGACTGGGGTCCTGCTTTTATTGACGCCGCAACAAACTGGGGTGGGTCTGTCGGCGTCAGGGTTTTCTCGATAATTCCAAAAGTCGCATTATTTTTTGACTTCCCATTATCGCTATTGTTTTCACCCCTACTTCCTCACAGTGCCTTTGGTGGGAGGTGCACACCCATCTCTTTAGTCTCTCGTATGTCAGGTGACCGTTTTTTCGACCAATGGTTCCTGATCGGGCATTTCTTTCTTTTCTTTTCCGCAGCCACGTGACCGTTTTCGGCTAATGAGACTCTGGTTGGGCGTTTTCCTGCAATCAATCGGGGCGGGCTTATATCGTTCTTGTTCTAAAAAACAAAAATCTAATTTGGCCTTTTTCGCACGTACGAAAAAATGATAATCTTGGCTTTTTTCTCACCTGGGTTTTGTCAACACAGCCTGCCGCTAATTAGATGTGACTTCAGGAAGAATACTGGCACTATCTGCGAACTGAGACAATCGTTTTTTTTTTCACCTCTTGTTTTTGGTCAGACCCGACAGTCAGAAAATCTTAATTATCTACATTGAAAATATCTTTCACTCGTCAATGTGGGGGTTCTAATTTTTAACAGGTCAGAATCTGTATACAATTCCACCGGTCACCCCTCAACCCAAAAAACACTTTTTCTCTGATTAAGATTTCGTTTTCATTGTTCCCAAAATTTCCCTTTATCCAAATTGATAAGGTGTCTTTCACGCAAAAAAGTAGGCTAGATGCTTTGACCGATATCTGGTTTTCATCAAGCGGCCCGTTTTGATATCATGTCTTTTCCCTTTCTTTCTTTTTTTTTTTATTTCTAATTCTATTCTTCCAATTGTCTTTAAAAATTCGGTCAACATGCTAGCTAAGATATCTTTCTGACTCGTGTTTTGTTAATGACCGCTTTTTTTGTATTTCTCGACCTCTCTCTTTGCTTTTTCTTTTTCTTCCTCTTCTTCCCTTAGGATCGTCTAAGTACAATCTTAGTGAATTATTTTCAACTCAATTATTTTCCGTTTTAAAAAAAAATCAACAACCTGTTTAGTAAACCGAGTAAGAAAAAATTAAATCATATTTCTATGAATATTTCTAATAATGCAAGGTGCCACAACTAGAATAATGTTTGAATTAATAAAAAAATGTTTCATTAAAATAAATCCATTAATACTTTAAGAATTGATTTCTTGACGTTTCGGTTACGAAACTAAACAGATATGGGCTTTTGAGTAACACAATTTAAGCGAATAAGTGCGCTATACTTTGTATTAAATTGTCTGTGAAAATAGACAAAGAAAAGAGTGAAACAAAACTAGACAGTGATATTTATTCTATCGGGAACCTTTTCGTGTGCAGAAAGGTTAAATAATAATTCCTGAAATAAAATGCGAACTCAAGGAATGTTCTTGAAAAATCTCTGTAATGAATTAGGGGGAAAGTTGTACTTGTTAGTGAATTAGAGAGTGAAAGATGTGTATAGTGTATAGTCTAAGCCATGTGCAGTTACTGTACGGAGCGCTAATTTTAGCGTCATATCTTGATCGCGGCCTATATTGAAAAAGAGAGCGCTAAACTCTTTCGGGTAAACACGACGCATGTCCCTAGTTTTTCGCTGCAAGCTCTAAAATTTGAAAAGGAGAGGCTAGTGATAGGGCTATCGACGCATGCGTGTCTAGTGAACAGTTTTAACATCCGCTAGTAGATAAATCAAGAAAACGCTTGGAGAATAAAATTAAAACCGGTCAAATAGAATTAAGTACTATATGAAGATAAGCGTTTTTAAAAATAAAGTGAGTTAAAGAAGAAAGAATAGGCAAATTGTATGTACATCTATGTGCGTATTTGACATTAGAAGTCAAGAAGGTAAGATAATGTATGTGTGTGTGTGTGTGTGTGTGTGTGTCTGTGTGTGTTTGTGTGTGTCTGTGTGCGTGAGAGAGAGAGAGAGAGAGAGAGAGAGAGAGAGAGAGAGGGAAAGAGTAGAGACAGAAAAGTAAAAAAAAGATTCATTGATTGATTTTTCTTCACGGATTGTCAACCTTTTGCATATTATTTAAAGCCAGCATTTATTTTTGAAATGCAAGAATTTTTTTTCTTTTTGAGATAATGATTTTCTGATAAAAGTCCTAATAGAGAGATTCAAATCTTTCTCGAAAGTATTTACGCATAATTAAATAAAACGAACCAGACTAGAGTTGGAACTCGGCTCTCCGATTTCCCTTTCCGAGGCGTTATCCATTACACCACCCGTACACCCAAAGATTACAGCACCTGGCATTCCCAAGCGCTCATCCATGTAGGTACTTAACAGACACGACGTTGCTTAACTTCGGTGATCGACCAAGAACCGGTGATTCAGTGTGATACGGCCTTAAGCAAAAGAAAGAAAGAATGGATGAAAGAAAGAAAGAAAAAAAAAAAGCACGAAAGAAAGAGAAAAACAGAGAAAGAGAAAAATAAAGAAAGAAAGAAAGTTTCAAATGCCAGAATGAATTCCATGTCACAAACGTACTCCAGGCATCAGCACTTGTCGTGGTGCCAAGCCAAAATCCGGAAGACGTAGTCGTGATATTGCCAATGTTGGCACCGCGCCGGGCTTGCATCCGAAGGTGGTGGAGGCGAGTAGTGATGAAGGTGAGATAAATACAACGGGTAAATAGTGTGGATGGGGATAATGTATTGTAGGGTAGGGAAGGAACGGAGAAGAGAAATGAATAGATGGGGGGGGGTGGCTGTTTTCTCCTATTTCTTCTTCTTCTTTTTAGCCCCAGGTGAAATGCATTTGAGATGGAGGTGATTGTATATAACCTATTTAGTTGTCCCAACCCGTCCAGATTCATCAGTTCGAATCTATCTATCTATCTATCTATCTATCTATCTATCTATCTACAGGGTGCGATGGATAAATAGTCGTCTAAATTACGCAAAAATGAAAATAACACTGACATCTCATTTTAACAGATATATTTACTAAAATTATACAAAAATATCTTGAAATACCAGAGTAAATTTATTCAATAAAATCGCCATTGACCACGGCATCCAGACGACTTCAGAATCTCCTGCATCTCTTCTGGACGGTCTCCTTGTTTAATTTGCTGAATGATGCTATAGTCCTTGCCTTCAGTTCATCTTTGGTGTTTCAAGGATTTTTCTTGGTCTCTTGCTCAACTGTGCCCCACGCATAATAATCAAGGAGGCTGCAGTCTAGCGAGTTAGGTAGCCAGGGGCAAAGGTTGATATGGCCGCAGAAATTGTCTAACAGCCATGACTGGGTTCTTCCACTTGTATGGCATGGTGCAGAGTTCTGTTGCCAGACATAGGTTTTTTCCAGTAGCCACCCTCTTGACCCAGGGCAGCACTACCTTCTCAAGGCACTTGATGTAGGCCTTCACCAACAAATTCGGGAGTTCTTTTCGCATCAGAACGATCAGAGTGAGTTTTCCGAGCTGGCGTACCTTCATAATCACCATCAGACTCACCCAACTCTTTCCGAATCCTCTGCACAGTCCTCAGATTGACACTGTGAAATGTTCGTATTGGATCTTCCGGCACGAATGCCAAAGAGTACAGCATACCGTCTTCAAATTTCTGGCGGAGGGAATTGCATCATGGTACCCAACTGATCCGGCTATACTGTGCAGTCGGCAAAATCAGAAAGACACGACGCGCATGTACAAGATTTGAAATATAAAATGGCGATAATTTACACATCTATCTATCTATCTATCTATCTATCTAATCTTTTCAATCTGAAAGTGTCTGAGTGACTCTACTTCTACAGAATAAACGTTGATGCTCTAAAACAACTTCTTTTCGCCACCAACTTGCAGAAATAAGTAACTAGTGATTAAATGAATTTAAGAAAACTTAAAAACAAAGTATTACCGCTTTTCCGAAAGTGGGGAGGGGAACATAAGGTTAGAATTAAAAACAGACTTGTGGGCATGTCTTGATTAACCAATGAAATGTCAGATCTACGCTAAATAGTACAAAAAGTTATCTACAATCAAGATACATTTGTCGCTGATATATTTTCCGTAATTGTCAATGATGACCTGTCTATGTTCCGGTTTATCATGGCATGAAAAAATAACTCACCCACCTGCATCTTCTGAACTTACTTTCCTATTTAGCGTAGATCTGACATTTAGCTGGTTAATCAAGACATACCCACAAGTCTATTTTTAATTCTGACCATATGTTTCCCCCGTCTTTACCTTTCGGAAAAGAGGTAACACTTTGTTTTTAAATTTCCTTAAAAATCATTTAATCTCCAGTTACTTACCATCACCTGAAGAAGTACAATCATAGTATTGAAACATGAAAGCTTTTGTGTAGCGATTTCAACATGTTTTATTATAATTTCTTATAATAAAACTAATATTATATTGCTCTACTTTGTATTGAGCACTTTTTAAAAAAAGTAAATGCTACGAACAATGGAATTTTACTCCATCTGTTCTTTCTCTCTCTCTCTCTCATATATATATATATATATATATATATATATATAACAACTGAAGGGAAAGTATGATTGGTAATAACTATGTAGTATAATGTACATTATTATAAACTTTAATAATATTTTCAGGGTAATTTAAAGCAAATAGTTTTTAAAAGGTGCAAATAACATGCAATAATAATAGATGGTTATTTTCTGAATGCTAGATTCTTGGTCCTTTTAAACACATTTGTTTCGATAAAAATTTGCTCCCGAAGTGTGTATGTAGTGATTTCCCAAGCGTAGCTTAGATGTGGCACAAGGCCGAAATTGGGGGAAACCCAGTGAGGATCGAACTCACTACTTAGTCATAATTGTTCTAGCGAGCCAAGTTTGCTAACCATTACACCACCTCGAGGTGCCCTGAAGTGTGTATGTATATATATATATATATATTAGTTTCTTAAATTTTGTATATATATATATACAAAATTTAAGAAACTAATATATATATATATATATATATATATATATATATACAAAATTTAAGAAACTAATATATATATATATATATATATATATATATACAAAATTTAAGAAACTAATATATATATATATATATATATATATATACAAAATTTAAGAAAAACTAATAGTTCAAAAGTAAAGCAGATATTTTCATATAGTGCTCAATATAAAAATATTCAAATAATATTAATATTAAAAATAGAGTATTGATAATAATATAAATTTACTTAACTATAAATATCATTTTTTGACGTTTTCCCCCACTTTGAAGTTTCTTGGAATTGTCCATCCTTCAAGGAAACTGTTGTTTGAATAAGTTTATTTCTGTGTTTTTTCTCAATTTAAAATTTTTTTCTTGCATCATGTTTAGAGAATAAAACGAATATTTTGCTAAGTGTTTGAAAATTGATATCTTATTTGCCTTTCGCCATTTGAAGAAATTTAGATTCGTTTCCAAATTCTATATGTGGTTGCCACATTCTCTGACGGAACAGAATAAGCTCGATTGTGTCTCTGTGTCGATTTTCTTTTGTTACGACTCGAAAACGAATCGTTCTTGGACAGAATTGTCACAGGCGTTAAAAAAATGGATCTTTTATGACCTTCAAACGGTTGATAAGCCGTAAAAATACCAAACAAATCAATTAACTACGGGTCTGCACAAGCGACAGTGTATGATGACCTGGCGTACAATAAGATTTGTGTGCGTTGGGTGGCCAAAGAAACTAGAGATATAGACGTGGCTTCTTCAGCAACAGAAAAGATTCTTTTCGGAAGGCTTGAAGAAGCTTGTTGATCGATACCAGAAGTGCATCGCAGTGCCGGTTTGCGAACTATACCAAAAACTGATATTTGTTCTTCATCAGTGGAAATAAAGGTGTTGAATGGAAATTGCTATAACTTTTTGATTTACACTCGTATTTATCTAAAACGTCAAATCTAAATAATTTGCATAATTCAGAGTGTGTAAATGTTGCTGCCCTGTCATGTGTTTTTTGTATTCTGTTTTGTTATTATTATTATTATTATTATTATTATTATTATTATTATTCCTTTGGTTTCTGTTCTCATTTTTTCCGGGTCCCAACCAGAGACCTAAGGTCAGAAATGGCATCATGACATTTTCTATTGATCAGTTTTGAAAAAAAAAATGGCACATATTTTACATAGATAAAGCCCTTCGCAAAGTGTGAGCTGTACTTGTGCGAATAATTTTTTGTATTTTTTTGAAGGCATGGACTGCCAGGGATTCCTTCAATGAGTCTATTGGAATCTTTTCCAATCAATCCGAGGGCTCCAACTACAACAGGAATTGTTAATGTTCTCATGTGCCACATTTTGGAGATTTCTATTTCAAACTCCTTGTATTTTGATAGATTGTTTGAAGATTTTCAAAGTTACATTGCAGTCTGCAGGCACTGCTATGCCAATAAGAATGCCCATTTTGTCTTTGGGGTCTGTAATCACTATTTCAGGGCGATTAGCTTTGGTTGTTCTGTCTGCGTGTATTGTAATGTCCCAGAAAATTGTTACTGATTCTATCTCTGTTACCGGGTCTCGTTCTACAGAAGGATGCTGAGGATACCATGGACCGGACATGTGAGAAACGTCGAAGTTTTGAAGAAAATGATATATAAAAGGAAACTAATATCTAAGATCAGGAAGAAACAGTTGAGATGTCTAGGGCATATGATGAGGAAGGAGGGCTTGGAAAATTTGGTACTCACGGGACAGAGGGCCAAGGTACTTAGGAAAACAACGCATAACATGAGCTTGAGTAAATGGATGGCGGAACGGGGTTTAGAATAAATAACAGAAATACAAAGTTTATTAAGAGTTACAAAGGACAGGAAGTTGTGGAGAACCATGAATGGCTACGTCCTGCGGGGACAAGGCACATGAAGAAAATGAGAGAACAGTATGATTATTAAAGAACTGAGTGTAAGAACCGGAAGCGGAAGTGGAATGATATGTCCCGGAAAGGGATATATTTGTTCGAAGTAGCTTAGTGGTTTGGGCTACTGTAACCAGGTAGGACAATCTAGCGGGTAGCCGTAATGGACTGGTACTCGTCGTAGTGGTAGGCAATAGGTGTAGGCTATAAGCGTAGACCATGTACCTTCACATCAGTCTGTATTTATGGCTGACACCAGCCAATCATATTATTGTGAGGGAGAACTCAGGTGTATGCATATTTATTACATCATGGAACAATCAACTCACTTGAACTGAGTAAGGGCTACTGTCTGTATTAATACCACGAAGCCAAGCTGGTCCAATTTTTATCGTTTTGCCGTATCAACAGAAAATAATATTTATTTAACAATTTTGAAAAAAAAAAAGTTCTGACAAACCATGTAGAAACTTAAACCGAATGAAATAATTATAGACTTCTGCTTAAAATGTCCACTTGTGTTCGAATATATAATTGAAAGCGGGAGATTTCCTCCTTTTCGCAATCAGCAAATCTCAGATTTAATCATTTTGACCCTTTCATCTTTGTCGATGATACGTAAGAACGGTTATTGACTTCTTTCGGCTGAAAAGGCATAAATGCATAATGCTGTTTCAGAAGAGTTGAAAACAATAAATATTTAAACTAGCTGTGGGAGGTGAGCGTCATTATCAGTTAGCGATTTCATGGGTTCGTTATTATTTAAACTACTCGAGCAATTATAGGAACTTTTACAGCACCTGCAACGTTTCTAAGTATGTGTAAATAATTCACAGTGCAAAACGAAAACTTTACGGCGAACGATTCTGAACTCGGCAAGCTATTATGATGCATACCTTGCCTCTTTCTAGAATTCTGAATTTTAATGTAAAGTCATCCGAAAATCAAAAAAAAGTATTCTCATCATTGAGAAAAAAAATGTATTGCGAATAGCATAAGGGATATAAGCGTGGAAGGGGGAATCGGAGAGTTCTAATTTCGGGAGAATCCGTTTCATTCACTTTCGCATAAATGCTCTTTGGAAAGGCATGAATCCATTTCCTTGTCCCCGCCAAATCAAGCTTATAATAGTGTAGACTGCTAATTTCAGGAGATTGTCTCGAGAAGGAAAATTCTGAATTGGAAACCGCGAGGAATTCAACCACTGATTTATATTATCCAAAAATACATGGCAATACATAGATGATATAGTAAAGGAATCTGTAGAGATGGCAACGGGAAACCACTCCACTATCTTTCCCAAGAAGTCATGCCAATTCACAGATAATAAAGAAAAGGAATCTGTGGAGAAGGCAACGGGAAACCACTCCACTATCTTTCGCAAGAAGTCATGGCAATTCACAAATAATAAAGAAAAGGAATCTGTGGAAAAGGCAACGTGAAACTACTCCACTATCTTTCGCAAGAAGTCATGGCAATTCACAAATAATAAAGAAAAGGAATCTGTGGAAAAGGCAACGTGAAACTACTCCACTATCTTTCCCAAGAAGTCATGGCAATTCTCAGATAATAAAAAAAAGGAATCTGTGGAGAAGGCAACAGGAAACCACTCCACTATCTTTCTCAAGAAATCATGGCAATTCACAGATAATAAAGAAAAGGAATCTGTGGAGAAGGCAATGGGAAATCACTCCATTACGTTTCCAAAGAAGTTACAAACGACAGTAATTATCCCGTTCTGGGTATGACTATAAACTACATTCAGCATCAAGGCCTGTGATCAGGAGGATTTGAGGAGCGTGGAGCCACGCCTTAATTGCTGGTGTTCCCAGGTCCACCCTAACCCCGGGTTGTAGCACCTGTTAGGGTCCCAGCTATGGGCAAATACTTAACCCCAAACTGGG